TGCAAAGCACCAGTTTGTTGATCACGATACTAGTTATTCTTCTTCATCTGATTCTTCTTCTCCTTTTTCATCCTCTTCTTCTTCTTCTTCATCCTCTTCTTCTTCTACAAGCTCGCTCTTGAATTTACCTCGGTTAACCCTCTCAAACTCCAGGGGGAATGCTGAGGCCGATGAACCGCATAAATTAATAGGGATTCCCCCGTCTAACCTCTTCTCTAATCTTACGAACTGCATCACTCTGTGTCATGTCAATGTCCAGAGTCTAACTGCCCACTTTAATGACTTCTTGATCACATTTGAATCTGGTATTTTTGACATAATCTTAGTGAGTGAAACCTGGCTCAAGCCTTCTCTACATTCTCCTATGTTTATTCTTCCGGGCTATCGTCTTCTGAGAAATGATCGCGTGTATTCTAGGGGTGAGGGTGTGGCTGCGTATGTCATAGATCAACTACAGGTTGACTCGATTGAATTGTCCGATGGATCTTCGCGAGCAATAGAATTCCTTTTGATTGAGGTTAAGTGTGTTAATGCTAAACTACTATTGGGTGTTTTTTATTATCCCCCAATGATGAATTACTTTGAGCAATTTGAGGATCTCCTTGAAAGACATAGTATGTGCTATGACACCATAGTATTAATGGGCGATTTCAATACGTGTACATTGAGAGATGACCTGCGTAGTGATAAACTTCGATTTGTCACTTCTTCCTCAAATCTATCTATCATCCCTTCTCAACCAACCCATCACCTTCCTTCGTCCGACTCTCTGCTTGACTTGATCATCTCGTCTTGCACCGATAAGATTCTTGTTCACGGTCAACTACCTGCTCTGCAATTCTCCAACCATGATCTTATTTATTGCGCTGTCCAAGTCCGAAATGTAGTTTGTCCTCAGCGTAATCTATCTTACCGTGATTTCAAACATGTTGACTATCAACAACTCAACTCTGATGCGCTGAGGATAGACTGGAAACCGTTATATCTTATGACGGACATTGACGCGAAGGTTAACTATTTTAATAATAAAGTAACATGTTTGTATGACAAACATGCTCCGGTAAAGCAAAGGAGAGTGAAACATTTTCCTGCCCCTTGGTTAACTAATGATATTAGGGGTCTCATGAGCGAACGTAATAGAGCAAAAACGTTGTACAGACGTAACCCGTCAGTTGATAACTACGACTGCTATCGTTCTTTGCGTAATAGGTGCAATCACAAATGCAAAAATGCTAAAAAAAAATATTTTTATTGGAAATTATCTGTGTCGACACCAACTACATTTTGGAAGACCTTGCGATCTCTTGGCGTCACTGACAGCAAACTCACGCAATCCACTCCGGATCCTAACTTGTTGGCCAGCTATTTTGCCGAACCGCCGGTAACGCTTGACGCTACTCAGAAGGCTACCTTAATTCAAACCATTTGTGCATCAGAGAATGGGAGCGTGGATGATGCACGTAGCTTTTCATTGACTATGGTTGACTCGGAGGTTGTTCGTGAGGCTCTCACTCAAACCCGCTCTACGTGCTCTGGTGCTGACTTTATCTGTCTAAAACAGATCTTGCCAATACTAGATGCTGTTCTGCCTCCGCTGAATCATATTTTTAACTTTTCTTTTGAATCATCCTCTTTTCCATCTATATGGAAACATGCTCAGGTTGTTCCCATTCCCAAATTGAAAACTCCAGTTTTGGCTAGCGACTATCGTCCTATTTCAATACTTTCTCTTTTGTCAAAGGTTCTTGAGCGTATTGTGTATACCCAGGTTTATGATTTTCTTGAGAAGCATCGATTGATTAGTGACAAACAGTCTGGTTTCCGACGGGGTCGTAGTACTACTACTTCCTTGATCAAGATCACGGATGATATAAGACTTGCCTGTGATAACCGTCGTCTCACTATTTTGGTTCTACTTGATTTCAGCAAAGCCTTCGACTCTGTCGATTACGATCTTCTTCTTTCTATACTTTCATCTATTGGTTTTTCTTCCTCGAGTCTTTCATGGTTTCATTCATATCTTTCGCATCGCACACTGTGTGTCCGTGCCAATTCAACCTTTTCCAACCGCTTTGAGCTTTCTTGTGGTGTGCCCCAGGGCAGTGTTCTCGGTCCGTTGCTGTTTTCTATCTTCATTGATAGTGTCACCAAGGTTATTTCTTCAAATTTTCATCTTTACGCGGATGACCTGCAGATCTATACCGATACAACAGTTGATGACTTTCCTCAAGCTATTGAGCGAATTAATAATGATCTTGCGAGAGTGCTTGAGTGGTCTAAACTATACGGTTTGAAGCTCAATGCTAATAAGACCCAAGCCATAATATTTGGTACAAATCCTCTACGGAGCAGGGTGGCTACTTTTGCTAACTCGCAACTTCTACTTGGTGACACCGTCATTAAATTTTCGGATGTAATTAAGAATCTTGGAGTTATGATGGACTCTGCACTGTCTTGGCGCCCCCAGGTTCAGGCGATTTGTAAGAGGGTTTACTCTTGTTTCCACTCCCTCCGTAAATTTAAGTGTTTTCTTCCACCTTACGTTCGACGCAACCTCTGTTATTCGCTGATTTTTCCACATCTTGATTATGCGGATACGGTTTGTACTGACCTGTCGATATCTTTGTGTAATAAACTCCAGAGATTACAAAATAATTGCATACGTTTTATATTCGATCTTGGGAAATATTGTCATATTACTCCTTACCGCAATAACTTACGTTTGCTTACGTACGTAAACCGTCGGTCCTTCCGTGTGTTAACAAGTCTCTATAAGATTATTAAGACTCAGAGTCCACAGTACTTATTTAATAATTTTAAATTCTTATCATCACACGAGCGTCCCACTCGTTCGCAATCGGACTTAATTCTTCTATTCCCAATACATCATACGAATTTATACCACAGGTCATTTACGCTGTACGCCATATCCCTCTGGAATGGTCTCTCCATGGATATTAGAAACGCTCCAACCCTGTCATCTTTCAAGACTTGTCTTACACATTTGCTCTTCTCCCGTCAAATTACGATCTTATAATAATTTGCTTCCTTTTCTTCTTTTCTACTTTCTTTCCTATATTCGTTATTCACCTTCTTTCTTTTCTGCTTTGTTACTCTGTGCATTTCTTACACTTTTCTTCCCTCCTTTTTGTTAATAGGATAAAAAAGAATAAGTCCACGATGATTTTTTATTATTTTTCTAATTTCTCGGATGCACATATCGACAGGTTACAACGGACTTAAGTTAAGTCCGTCGATATGTGCACACGACTCAAGTTTTTCGATTTTTAACGCTAAATTCCCTTTTTTATAACACGCCTTCAGCTTTTACAGTTTTCTACGCCTGCCTTCAGCATTTCAAAAAACATTTTTTAACCTATCACCCGACGTTGGAGTTTTTAACCTGACATGGTAAACCCACGCCGTTTTCAAAAATTTCACTTAATTCTTTAATCCAAAATTATATTTTTAATCATTGGTCCGTCGTAGTTTTTGTAAGAGAAATTTTTCCACATGATCATTTTTTCACGTGTTCATCATTCTTAGTTTTTGACGTCGTACCTGAAGACGCTTTTAGAAAAAGCGAAACATTGTTGTACCAAAATTAGAAAAATAATAAAAAATCATCGTGGACTTATTCTTTTTTATCCTATTAATANTTGTTTTTTTTTTCTTTTTCGCTTTTGGTTAATTATGCGTGCGTTAATTACTTACTATTCTGTATATCTGGTGGTATCATTGTAATATAGTTTAGACTGGGTCGATTGGAAGATATCGTCTTTGGCGATAAATCGTTCCGTTTGTCAGAATCAGTCAGAATTGAATTTATGATTTGTTTTCCACTGTCACTGTCATTGTTATAATCATCTTTGCTTTTTTTTATTTTTATTATTACACTACCGCTAATATAGGATAATTATAATAATGTACAATTTTCCTTTGTTCTTTTATGGCAATAAAATTTGTTGATTATTATTATTATTATTTCCCTTTGTGTGGAAGGTTGCTCATGTCATTCCCATACCCAAATCCAAGTCCTCTTCATGTAACACTAATTTCCGTCCGATTTCAATTTTATCCGTACTATCAAAAGCTCTTGAACGCTTAGTTTATTTACAAGTTCAAGGATTGCTAGAGAGGCTTAATTTACACAATGAGTTGCAATCGGGTTTTCGCAGTGGGCATAGTACTACTTCCCTCAGTAATGTTACTGATGATATTAGGTATGCCTGCGACAACAGATGTGTTACTGTGCTAGTACTGCTAGTTTCTGCCTACGAATTCACTCCCTCCTGTGTTTCCTGGTATCAATCTTACCTTTCCCATCGCTCCTTGTGCGTACGCGCTAACTCTTCAATTTCTTCTACTTGTGCAATCAAATGTGGTGTTCCTCAGGGCAGTGTATTGGGTCCGTTACTTTTTTCTTTGTTCGTTAATAGTGTTGCTAATTATATCTCGTGTAATTATCATTTGTATGCTGACGACCTTCAGATATATGCTACTACAATTGCCGTTGAATTTCCGGAAGCTATTGTGCGAATTAATAACAATCTATCTTACGTCTTGAACTGGTCTCGAAGTTACGGACTTAAGTTGAACTCAGTTAAAACGCAAGCTATTGTGCTTGGAATTCGTCAATTACTTGGTAAGATTAATCCATCTACCTGCAATGATCTGATGCCGGATGGAAATGTCATACGGTTTTCTGACACAGTTCAAAGTCTTCGAGTCCTTATGGATTCTGCACTATCTTGGAAACCGCAAATTCAACATGTTTGCAGAAAAGTTTACGCTGCTTCCACTCTTTAAAAAGACTTCGTTGCTCTCTTGCTCCTGTGGTTTGTCGTAATCTTTGCTACTCACTTATATTTCCTCACTTCGACTATGCGGACGCGAAAATAATTGCATTTGGTTCATATTTGACCTAAATAGATTTGAGCATGATCCTTCATAACTGCACCCCAAAGTACTTATTAGGTTCCAGCAATTATCATCTCATGAGCTTGCTACTCGTTTACGTTCTGATACTATTCTCATTTCCTGTTCATAGCACTGAAATTTATCACAGGTCATTTATAGTACAGTCGATTGCGCTGTGGAATGGACTGCCTTCTGAAATTCGTAATATTTCTAACATTGCTAATTTTAGACACGTTTTAAAGTTCCACTTGCTTGCCCTTCAACTGGCTGTTTCCTGATTCTTTGTTCTTTGGCTTTATCTTTTTTTTCCTGTCTTCAACTGCTCTCACTTGTTGGCAACTGATATCCGGCAGATTCCTTTGGTCTCTTGTAGCCGCTCTCTCTCTCTTTTGGTGTCTTTTCTTTATTTTTCTCTTTGTTTTCTCTCTTTTTCTTGCTTAATCTTATTTGGTGATAAATGTTACTAATATCTAATTATCACTACTTGCCATATTCGGTAAATATTATTTTTGTTTGTTCTGTTGGGTCATTTGGCAGAGATCGCTTGTGCGATAAAATGATCCATTTGCTGATACTGCCCATACTGCTTATACTGCTTAAGTTTAAGTTTATCCATTGCTCGACTAACAATCGACAATGGGATTTTATGTATATACTTTTGTTCTTATATTTTTTTTCATTGTTTTTTTTTTGTCTATCTTATGTAATTTTGTATTCTTAAATGTAAAATTTTCTGTGGCAATAAATAAAATAAATAAATAAAAATGTTTAAATATTCTTACAAAATGTTTAGACATTTTTTGACAATTTTGGATGTTTATAAAATCACCTCAACAACTTGGGGAAATGTTAAAAAGCTTTGGTGGAAAGTTCCGACATCTTTGAAAATCCTTTAGACATTTTTGTAAATTACCAAATTAAGTTTTGACACTTTTTAGACAGTTTAGGAAAATGAATTAAATGTAAGAAATCTTACTTACCTCGACATAATCTAATCGGCACACCTCATGATTTTCCAAATCAATATCCGCAAACACCAGTTGAATAACAGATCCGGGATTCACAGATATTTTCCAAACACACACAGTGTTCTTATCATAAGGTTCAGGATAATGCGGCGAAATAATCGATCCCCTCGCTGAAGTTAAAGTCCCCCCACACCCAGTTGATGTGGCACTCCACGTTATATTAAATCCTTTCGCAGCCCTAGTAAAATCCGATTTGAACCGCAAAAAGAGTTGATTAGCATGCGACGGAATCATCTTAGGAATAGTATCCCCACAAAACTTTCCGATCAGCGGGGAAGCAGCCGTCCCCCCATTCCTTATCTCTAAGAAATCGAATCGACAATCAGCGTACGGTTCCAATTGGAAATCATTGATTTTCAACATGATTTGACTCCCCGATTGCACGTGGAGAACCCATTTACAATCTTTATTAACTGGGTATGATTTAGGGTAAAACGGGGAAGTTAAAATTCCGGATGGAGTAAAATAAGTCCCCCCACAAATCGAATCGGATGGGAGGAAAGTGTAAGTAGCTACAAACCCGTCTTGATTGATTGAAACGTCAGTTTTGAAGGTTACGGTCATGATGTTGGAGGATGTAATAAGGATTGGGGGGAGTTTATTTCCGCAGTATCGCCCAATTAATCCCCCCATGCCGCTGTTGGTGTTGTTATCATAAACTTCAACCCGATCGTATTTGCAATCATAACTGTTTTCTAATAGGAAGTTTGACCAAGATAGTTGCACGACCATATTCGTTGGGGCTACGATTAACCAGGTGCATTTGAGGCTGCTTGGGTAATTTGATGGATGAGATGGGGATTGAATCGTGCCGGATTTTTCTTTTAAAAGTCCCCCACAACCAATATCGGTTGTTGTGTAATTCATGTAAAATCTTTTGGGCTGATACAATGACTTTTCGACTTTTATCCAAAGTGCGTTATGTGATGACATGACTTCTATAGGGGATCGTTCGCAATAATTTCCTAATAAAGGAGCGTTTTCGTTGTCACCATCTCGTACTTCGATGTTTTGAAAGAGTGGGGTTGTAATAAACGTAAACTGTGTTGCAAATTTTAGAGTCGGCCACATATCCATAATATTCAAATTAATAACAGTTCCAGTGGGGCGATTAATTTGATAAATACAATCTTTCTCTGTTGTTCTTGATTTCGGATATTCCGATGACGCAATAATTCCTTCACTAGAAGTGTACGTCCCACCACACATCGCTTCATATTTCAACGAAAAACCTTTGGATAATCTCGTTTTAAACAATAAAAGGAGCTCGTTTCCCAACGAAACATAAGGAGGTGGTAACTCGGTCCCACAATATCTTCCAACAGTCGGCGAATCCGACGTGGATCCTTCATACACCTAATTTAATTAAAAAAGGCAAATTTAATCAATCATAAATATTATTTTTACTCACAATTAATTCCTCGGAACACCCCGATTTCGTTTTAACGACATCAAACGTCAAGAAATCTATTCTAATTCTCATATCTTCAGGAACTCTTATTTCATATTCGCATTCGTAGGTTATTGGGTCTAAACTTGGAACGATTTCTCCTTTAATTAAACCTGATTCCTTGGTGTATACACCGCCGCAATTTGGAATACCTAAAATATATTAAAAAGAATTAAAAGAAACCTTAGATCTCTCAAATTGTTGGTTTTCCAGATATTTCTATATGGACCATCAGATCATCAAATCGATACAAAATTGACGCTTTTGAGATCTAGTGGTGAAGATAAAACTAAGGATTCAAATAACTCAGCCGAGGTTGCCTGCGGGCGAGGCAGTACAATTTACGTTATATCCACCCAAATCCCAATAACATAGAGCAGAGTCTTATCTTAATGAGAAGAAACTAAGGATTCAAGGAACTAAGCCGAGATCGCTTGCGGCCGAGGCACTGGTTTGTGCCTTAAGGTCGCCGTTCAATCACGTGATGTTTACAAAAGTGCAAAAAAAATTTGTATACTTCCGCTGTTGGTTAAAAGAGGTCGTCCTGAGCTCAATTCAGTTATTCATAGCGACGCTTTTCTATATCAGCTTACAATTAATCATCCTACCGTTGAATGATTTCATTCGATGGAGAATATATTCCGGTATAGTCTTACGCGATGGTTGCGAACGGTTTGCGAAATGCCGCACAAACATTTCAGAGATTTATCAATAAAGTTCTTACTAGCCTAACTTTCCACCAGCGGCTTTCTTATCTAAAAAGATGACCAATGGTCAAATGAAATATTCCACATTCGATAGAGAAATGTGAAATAAAAAATTCATTCAATATCCGTGGAGAGTCGCAAAAAAATTCTTTTTTACCTTCTATGTAAAGTTTGCTCTTTTAAGAAGACAACAAGGTACGCAGGATGATGGAAAAAATAAGATGGAATTTTTGCGGAGTGAATTTTGTATTGTGATTTTTGATTAAAAAAAACTGTTTTTCAATTCAAATATCTAATAAAAATTGCAGCAGTCCGTTTAAAATAACGAAGTTGTAGGCTACTTCCGGTACACTGGATGTGGCAGCCATCTTGAAATTATTTTAAATCGAAAGATTGGGTTTATTTTAATCTCTAAAACATACGGAACATGAAACCTAAAAATTTCTAAAGAAAATCCCAACTATACGACCAAGCTACAATCGTGACAGAAGTCAAGGGAGTGAAGGAACAAAAACAAATTACAAAATCACATAATAAGTTCAAATTCCAAAATAAAAATAAAAATTGTAAATTAGATAATACTAATAAATCCAATATTGCATGTTACAGGTGTAGCGGTAAACATTTGACAACAAAATGTTCACTTAACTTAAAATATACAGTGCTCGAAATGTGGTAAGAAAGGTCACCTACGCAAGTTCTGCATGGCGAAGGTGAAGCTAGTCGAGGAACTATGTCGAATTAAGACAGAAGATGTACATTACAGAAATAAATACCGTATCCAGATACTTATCGGAAACAAGCTGGTGAATTTCGAGATTGAGAGCGAAAGTTAACAATTAAGGGTTTAACAACAAATTTACATTTACAGGAAAATGTTACACCCGAATTCATTAAAGCTCGCAAAAGTTAGTGGTTCGGAATGGGCAACACCTACCGATGTTAAAAGCTAACAACAAATTGACATTGCTGGTGGTATTTTATTCATAAAAATAGATCTTCATAATGCATATTAACAGTTACAAAGTAAACCTTAAATAACCTTATCAAGCACATAAAGTGTTATACAGATGTAATATTGCTGTAAGGTATGGTAGCAGCCCCAGCTATCAGGCAACGTTCTATGAAAACCATATTACAAGGTATACCAAGAGTTACAGTTTTCTGGACGAGATAAATATTACTGGGAAGATGCAAGAACAACATTTACAAATTCTACAAGAAGTTTTTAAACGATTAAATCAGTACAATATTAAAATTAATAAAGAAAAAAGTCATGTATGTACGTTATATGCTAATCCATGGAATCAATTGGGATCTGTTTAAGAGTTGCCTTGCATATAACCTAACTGGTGGCATCGCTACCGTTAGGAACTGTGATCAGATTGAAATAGCCACGGAGCAGATCTCTGTAGCAATTCGTTCTGCCTATCACAGTAGCAGTCCACTGAAGGTGAAAAGTAATAATCGGGGCACACCATGGTGGAACGAATCTCTTAGCTCCGAAAGACAAAAGGTCCGGAGGCTTTTTAACCGGGCCAAGACATTAGGTGAATGGGAGAAATATAAACAAGCTCTAACGAATTACACCAAAAACATACGTAAGGCAAAAAGAGAGTCTTGGAGGAGGTTCTGTGAGGGACTGAAAGACACACCCAGCAGTGCAAGAATTCACAAGATTCTGACTAGAGATTCGGCAGACAGATCCGGTTTTACGGACTCTAGCAGAGCCTCGTTAGAGCTTCTCATGCAGACTCACTTCCCAGGAAGCTTGATAATGAGGGCTGATAATGCCACAGCGGGCTATTCCTGCAAGGCAAAGCGTCCCTCAAATACGGATTGGAGTGTGGCTAGAAAAGTCGTCACTTGCACATCCGTAGACCAGGCGATTCAAACGTTTAAGCCGTTCAAATCGCCTGGAGAAGACAATATCTTTCCTGCCTTGTTACAGCAGGGAAGGTCACTGTTGTTGCCAATTTTGGTAAAAATTTTCAGAGCAAGTGTCGCCTGGAAATATGTACCGGCAGAATGGACCAAGGTGAGGGTATCTTATATATCCAAAGCGGGCCATTCGGTCCCTACTCCTAATGCCTTTCGACCCATCAGCCTAACGTCATTTCTGTTGAAAACCCTTGAAAAAGTTCTATCTATACAGTGCCATTGGTATCTGGTCCACTGAGTCGCCACCAGTAGGTATGCTTATCAAGTGGGAAAATCAGCAGAATTAGCTCTACACAACTTAGTTGGTAGAGTATCCAGGACGCTGCAGGATAAAGAAATCTTGGTTTGTGCGTTTCTGGATATAGAGGGAGCGTTCAACAACGCAATACCACAATCTCTTGAAAGAGCTGCTCTTGACAGGGGAATGGAAGCAACTATAGCGGGTCGGATCCGCAATATGCTTGATAGTAAGTAGAGTAGTTTCTACTTCACTCCACGGTGACACGATACGCTTCAGGCCGGGAGGTGGCTGCCCGCAGGGAGGGGTGTTATTTCCCCTGCTTTGGTCCTTCATGGTTGACGATCTGATTGCGATAGTAGAAGCCGTTGGTGTAGAAATACAAGCTTATGCTGATGACATTGTCGTTATGGTCAAAGGAACCTGTTTGTCGGGGATATCTAAAGTCCTCCAGGTGACCCTAGATACCATTTGCGCTTGGTGTAAGGGAGAAAACCTCTCAATAAACCCGCAAAGGACAATTGTTGTGCCCTTCACCAGGAAACGAAAGTTGGATGGACTAATCCGCCCAACTATCTAAGGTGAAGATTATTCCTTTCTCAAAGGAAGTCAAATATCTAGTGATGGGACGGTATTTGAGCAACGGTATTTTGGAGCGGTATTTTTGAGTAGCGTACCGTTTCCACGCGATTTTAAAATATCCGTTACTAATATTACATATTAGTAGTGATGGTTCGGTATTTGAGGAACGATATTTTTGAGCATTATTATTCTAATGGAACGTACTATTCGGCGCGATTTTTAAAATGTCCGATTCCGAACGTTACATTATATAACGTTATACATATAAGACAGTCAGGTTAAACGCCGTTATATTGATATTTGTTTAAGGCTCCCTTAATATATTTTTTTTTCAATTTTCGGATAGCGTGTAATTTTTTTAAATTATGGCTACTATTATTGCTACGAAACCAGCAAAGTTTTTGCTCAAGGTCACGGTATTTTGGAGCGGTATTTTGGAACGGTATTTTTGTGTAGCGACCGTTCCTGGAGCGCTACACGATTATGAGCGGTATTCCCATCATTACAAATATCTAGGAGTAATCTTAGACAAAACCTTGTCATGGAATGGATACTTGCAGGGAATTTTGCACAAAGCTAGACTATCCTTGTGGACTTGTCGCAGTCTTTGTGGAAAAAATTGGGTCTTACCCTTGAAAGCCTGTACTGGCTCTATGTGACTGTGGTTAGACCTATGATCACATACGGAGCAGCAGCCTAGTATAGGAAAGTCCGACAGACTTCAGTTATTAGTAAACTTTCACGAATTCAACGAGTAGCCGGATTGGCAATCTCTGGTGCGATAAGCACAACGCCAACTCTATCAATGGAGGTTCTGCTTGGCCTATCTCCTCTACATTTGCATATAGAGAAAGTGCCTAGAACAACCATTTAAGGATTTAAGCAATATGCTCAAAACTGTTCCGACATGTCCTACCAATGGGCTGCGGAAGACATTATAAGCACTGATACTGTGCTATCAATGCCGTCAGATTTGGCGGGATCACTATCAGTGATTAATGTTCGATACCAGATTGTGCTGCCTGAGCGGCAGTCCTGGATCGAAAATAAAAATTCTCTGGTTCAGGCAGATATTTGCATGTTCACAGAACGGAAGGGGTCGGAGCAGGAATATACTGCTAGATACCTCGAATTAAGCAAGCCTACAGCCTGGGTACGTACTGTACTGTATTCCAGGCGGAAGTATTTGCTATTGACATGGGTGCTAAAATCCTTCAGAGGGGTGAAGAACATGACAGTACGAATTTTTTCAGACAGTCAAGTCGCTCTCCAGGCGCTGCAAACCTTGAAAACGGTGTCGGCTCTGGTTAATGATTGCAAGAGAACATTAAACACATTGAGTTGTGATAACATAGTTTCTCTAATCTGGGTCCCGGGTCACTATGAGGTTGCTGGCAATGAAGCGGCTGATGAGCTAGCACGAGAGGGTAGCGCTAAAGCGTTTGTGGGACCGGCACAAGCAGTTGGTTTATCATTTGCGATGGCCAAATATAGGATTGGACTGTGGGCTGAAGAAATACTTCGCCTACTGTGGACCAGTTCTCCTGGAATGAGACATGCTAAGGTGTTTATTAACATCGCCACTGTCAAACCCGGGAACATTTTAGGACTTGCCCGTAGCAGCATAAAAGTTCTAATGAGCGTCTTTACTGGGCACTGCCGATTAAAAGCACACCTCAACTTGTTGGGTTTAGCCGACGATGTTGAATGCCGACTATGTGCGGAGGAAGCAGAGACGGTTCAGCATGTTTTATGCCACTGCCCTGCTGTTAACCGTATCAGATTCTTGATTTTTAGGTCGCAGTTTATCTCCTCAAAGGATCTGAATTACCTTTCGCCGAGCAAGGTATTAATGTTCGTTAAGAGCATTGGACTGCACGGTGAAATTTGATAACGATATCTATCGGGGTACAATAGATCCTGAGGGTCGCGGTGCAAGGTGGGTTGGTCCGCCTACCCGATATGTAGTCTATTTAATATAATGTAATGTATATGCTAATCCGGATGGTGTGGGTGCAGTACTCTCACATATTTACCCAAACGGGGAAAAAAGAATAATTCAGTATGCTTCTCAATGCGTCCTTTCAGGGACGCAAAGAAAGTACTCTCAAATAGATAAAGAGGCTTATGCAATAATTTTTGCAGTAAAAAGGTTCCATCAATATTGGCATGTAAACACATTTACACTTGTATCGGATTATAGACCTTTAGTTCAAATTTTTTCAACAACGAAAAGCTTGCCTATTTACTCTTCAATGAGAATGCAACACTATGCACTGTATTTACAAGATTTTAATTACGATATTAAATATAGAAGTACTAAAGATCATGCTAATGTAAACTGTTTATCACGACTACCTATTAAACAAAATTCAACGGACTGTTATGTCATAGATGTTTTTTAAATTCAGACCATAGAAATGTTACCAGTCACATTAGAACAACTTGCTTACGAAACTAATAACGATAGTCAATTACAAAAAATTATAAGAAAAGTACAAGGAGGTCAGGAGATTCCAGATAAAGATAGATCATATAAATCAACATGAGTTTAATTTACAACAAGGAATATTGATGAGGGGACTTATTTTCAACAAATTGAGAGCAAATATATTAAAAGCAAATATTGATTCAAATACAGGGTGATTCATTAGCTCTATAACAAACTTTGGCAGATGAAAGGTGATGCGATTCTAAGGAAAAAATGTTATATGAATATGGGTCCGATTCATTTTGGTTAAAGAGTTACAAGCCTTTGAAAATTTTACACAGTTTAATAGGCAAATGAAAATGTACTATAAAAAATAAGTTTAAAAATTACAAAAATTGTTCGAAATGTCCGATTTCAGCTTGAATGCACGCCTCACATCGACGAAGTAAAGATTCTATCACACGACGTATGATATTTGGATCATTCCGTATGATATTTGGATCATTCCGTATGCTATTAGCTGCATCTTGAATTCTGTCCAGTAGTTGCTGACGGTTAGTAATTTCTACATGATACACAAGCTGCTTCATGTGTCCCCAGAAATAATAATCCAGCGGATTTAGATCTGGGGATCGTGCTGGCCAGACTACTGGACCTCCATTGCCAATCCATTTGTTTGGAAAATATTCATGTAACCAAGCGATGACTTCTCTTACTCGATATGGTGGTGCACCATCGTGCTGATACCACATATTTTGAACGATGGTAAGTGGTACGTCGTCGATAAAATCGAAAAGGTTATGTCCCAAGAAATTTCTGTACATATTTGCATTTAAGCGTTCATTTATCACCCATACAGGTAGCAAAGAATTGTTAAAAATGCCACCCCAAACGTTTACACTAAACCGTTGCTGAAATCTTCCTGGTCTAATTGCATGTGGATTTTGCAAGGACCACACATGTTCGTTATGATAATTATTTATGCCGTCCCTAGTGAAACACGCTTCATCAGACCACAGAACTTGGGAAATGAAGTTATTATTTTGAGCATGTTGCTGAATAATCCAGTAGCAAAATGCTAAGCGTTGCTCAGTATCTCCAGGATGTAATGCTTGAACATTTTGGCGATGAAACGGATGTAACATTTCTCGATTCATTACACGCCATACAAAACTTTAGGATATTTGTAACATGCTCGCTATACGCCGAGTACTAATTGAAGGGTCGTCAAGTACTAAATCAATAACACGTTCTTCATTTTGTACATTCACATCATGGGGACGAACGGAATGTAGTGGAGCAGGGTTACCTGTTTCTCTCAGTCTGCGAAATGATGCACTAAACACTGTATGGGCACGTTGATGTCTATTTGGAAACCTACGAAGGTATTCTCTTGCTGCTTGCCGAGCGTTTCCGTTACAAAGCCCGTATACAAAAATAATATCTGCATATTCTTCAGTCGTAAATACATGCATTTTCGTTTTCGATCAAAACTCTGACAATTATAAACTTTGAAACACACAGAATAGAGTAAATTGAAATGTTTGACATAAAGAACTCAGTTTTGTTATTACAGCCAACTCTGTATTTGTGTTTCATAATTATTGTTGCGATTGTTGCAAATCTTTACTTCGTCGATGTGAAGCGTGCATTCAAGCTGAAGGCGGACATTTCGAACAATTTTTGTAATTTTTAAACTTATTTTTTATGTTGCATTTTCATTTGCCTATTAAACTGTGTAAAATTTTCAAAGGCTTGTAACTCTTTAACCAAAATGAATCGGACCTATATTCATATAACATTTTTTCCTTAGAATCGCATCATCTTTCATCTGCCAAAGTTTGTCATAGAGCTAATGAATCACCCTGTATAGAGGATTTGGTTAAGAATTGATGTATGGGAAGCGGTAAATAATCCTTTTGAAAGAGTTTATATTGATTTTGCTTGTCCATGCATGAGGAAAAATTTTTTTCTTTGGGTAGATGCGCTTTCAAAATACCCGTTTGTAATAAAGTTTATTTGGATTTTCAAAATATCTTTTAATTTTTGAAATATTGATTTTTAAACTTACCTGCTATCACTGAGTAACCAATTTGAAATCCGGGATTTTGTCCAGATTCATCCGAATGAAATCGTACGTAAACTTCATGGAAGGGTGCTGTTAAAGGTGGAGGATGCGAAGTCTTGCAATAAGTAGCAAACGCTTCTCCGTTACTTGAAGAATGAAATGAGACGTAATCTTTAGTGCAATTCGCAGCATCTTCCCCAAGCGATAACTCGAAAAAGTGAAACTCAATTCTTTTATCAATCGGCGCTGTTAATCTCCAAACGCAATCCCTGTTATTGGGATAATTTCCCGGGAATCCTGGTGATTTCAAAACTCCGTGTGATTTGGCTAAAATTTCTTCGTGACATTTTGGCTCAACACTCATCCAATTGAAAGTAAACCCATTTCCTGGGAGAAGAGAATCATCTCTAAACCAAACATACAAATTGTTATGAGTTGACAAAAAAGTTCCATTTCTAGGAAATCTATTTCCGCAGAATCTTCCAAAAGAATGAGCCGCCGAGTTTCTTCCATCGTGAATTTGTAGCCAACTTGAAGCGCAATTTCCGGATTCTTTTATGTTGAATTTTTGAAACGTGATGTTCAACACTTTCGTTAGATTAGTTTCGATGACCCAAGCGCAACTATATTTATAACCGCTCCCAATGTTGCTCGGGTTATAATCTAAAGTACCAGCGTACGAATTTAGTCTACCACCGCAACTAGCTTCTCTCGTTTCACAATTAAATCCGGTAAATTCCGAGGTGCATTTGCAAAAATAACCATTTTCTGTTGTAACACAACTTCCTCCGTTAACACACGGATTTGAAGCGCAAGAAGAAGATGTGGCAACGTCACAATTTTTTCCTGAATATCCCGGCGTGCAAGTACAAGTATAATCGGTCGCGTTTAAACTTGCACAAGTCCCATGAACGCATGGGTTAGATAGACACCCTTGTTGACTTGTGAAGGTACAACCATTTAGGCCAATACCATTTCCTAGATATCCCGGGGGACATACGCATTCAACGAAAGTCGAAATAACCCCCGTAGTGTGATTGCAATTCGCCAAAGGATGACAACCACCGTTATTAACCCCACAAGTACCCCCTGAATAAGTACAAATTACCCCATCGCCAATGTAACTCGGCGGGCATGAACCACAAATCCTCGAACCCTATCAAAATTAAATTAATAAATAATAAAATTAAAATTAGAACATATTTACCGGAGTATTAACGCACAAAACTTTCGGATTAAAACTACAACCCCCATTAAAAGAATCACATTCGTTTAAATCGTTACAATGATACCCATTTCCGGTGTAACCAAGAGGACAATGTCCGCAAAAAAACGATCCAGGGACGTTGACACATTGCACCAAGGGCGTTTTCGAACATGGAAATGTATCGCATTCGTTTACATCGACGGTACAAGCCGGATCTTTACCATTAGTTTGCCAACCCTTTAAAAATTAATACTAATTAATTCAATTAATTATTAAAAATATTTACGTACTTGTTCGCAAATACATTTGTATCCCAGTGAAGTTCCTTGTGGGACACAAATTCCGTGTCCGCAAAGATCGCTTCCATCAGTGGCACAATCGGTGTCCTTTCGAGTGCAATGTACACCATGCCATCCATTTGAACAAACGCACCTATTTTAATTATAAAATAATGTGTTCAATATTGTCATATTTCAGTGTTAAAGATTTTGTATATTGGACCTAAGCATTCTACGATAAGAGCTTTGAAGAAGCCTTTACATCGAATTCGTCGAATTCACAACTCTGCAAAAGGCTCTTGTCGAAGACGTATTTTGTTAAACATTTTGCCTTGATGCAAAATGATGGAATGATTTTGTTGCCAAGCAGCTTTTATGCAAATTTAGTTTTATCTACTACATTTTAAAAAAATTCTACAAATGAAATCGTTTAAAGCGATATTCTGGAAATGCCGACATAAGCAGTTCCAAGAACTCTCTTTAATAATAATAATAATAAACTTTATTTCCATTTCCAAAACAAGTATATATATATACAAACAAACAGTAAAAAACCAAAACAATATACATAGAAATGAAAATTGGCGATGTTTCGTCTGACGCAAAATTGCGACAAGACGCTTTTCAAAAATAACCTTTACATTACATTTGATTACATTAAACAAAAAAAAGAGAAGCACAATTGATCAAATGAACTCAAAAATAAACTACAAATAACAAAAGAACAACGGTAAATTAAATTATCCCTAACCTTAAAAAAGAGAAAAAAAAAACGAAAACATAATATTATATGAAATGCAGATCCATCATCGAACGAAGCAGAAAAAACAGAGAAACAACAGTTCACTGGTACATTGAATAATTCACTGAAACAGCCACAGAGCTTGAAACTGCGACAGGCGTCAGGCACGAAAGCCAGAGAGAGCACAAAGGTATCGTTTGTACTTGATTTTAATAAAAATAATAATAATAATTCACTTTATTGCCCAACAAAGATCAATTACAGGACAATATTACAAGAAAAAGAAAATAAGAAATAAGAAATAACAAATGCCATAAAACAAATATAATTCACATAAACACTCTTACACTATTATTGATTGTTAGTTAGTTTACACATCCTCTGCACCGGGGAGTTGGCTAAAACATTGGATCTGAAATTCTTCAAATAAAACTGATTTGTACTACGTGTTAGACGCGTGCTAGACCGCGAAAATGATCCGCGACAACAACCAACCACAATCCAATTCACCTTGCACTAACTTCTGCAAAAACTTGATGCACTGGTCATCTCTTCTTACGTCTAGTGCAGAAAAGTTGTGACGCCGCATCAGGGATGCGTAATCCATTCCACAATCCGGGTATGATCCGTCCAGGCGTAGAACCAAATATTTGAGAAATCTCCTCTGAATTCTCTCCAATATTAGTCTACGACACACATAATGTGGCGACCAAATTACAGAGCCATATTCCAATTTGGACAATACAAAGGTCGAAAATAGGGTCTTGTACACACCGATATCAGAAAAAGCACGCGAGGTGCGCAAAATGAAACCAAGCATCCTCGCTGCAGAAGATGCAATATTTTCGATGTGAGGTACAAAAGACAATTTGCGGTCAAAAGTTCCTCCCAGATCCTTGATTGTAGATAGTTTCTCAAGAAGAACACCTTCTATATAATAAGAAGATGGAAGAGGAGACAGCTTGCGTGTAAAACTAACCGCACCGCACTTATTGGTATTAATCTTTAGCTGATAACGGTTACAAAATTCCACCAAGACGTCCAAATCCGACTGAAGACTGACAACATCACGGTCCGCAAAAATAGGTCGGAATAGTTTCAGATCATCCGCATAAGCTAGTACGCTTGATGAAAATTTGTCTAGAAGGTCATTCAAGAAGATAACAAATAGTAGGGGGCCTAGATTTGAGCCCTGAGGAACACCAGACCTAGCCGTAAACTCCATAGACGCATAACCGTTGTAGTACACATAATTTATACGACCCGATAGGTAAGAGGCAAATAGTTTCATAAACTTAGGAGATAAGCCAAAAGCACTAAGTTTATACAAGAGGACGTCATGATGAATCATGTCGAATGCTTTAGAAAAATCAGTGTATACCACATCTACCTGACCGCCCCTATCCAAAGATTCACAAATTACCTCAGTAACCACCGCGAGGTTGGTAATGGTCGAACGACGCTTGATAAACCCATGCTGATATGGTGACACAAATGACTGAACCTGTGGATAAATCATCTTGTAAATAATCTGTTCAAATACCTTAGCGAAATTGGACAATAACGATATTGGTCGATAATCAGTAATGTTGGTACGTTCGCCATGCTTGAATACAGGAACAATGCGTGAGCGCTTCCAAAGTTTAGGAAACGAGCAAGTGCTTAAGGATAGGTTAATTATTAAATGAAGCGGAACTGCAAAAACTGCACAGCAATCACGAATGAAAAATGCAGGAAGATCATCATCACCAGCAGTAAATTTATTAGGTAACCTTTTTAGGAAATGAAGAACCTCTTCTTCGGTGACATCGGCAACAAATACTGGAGGATACGTAGAGTGTACATCAACCATGTTATAAGCAGAGACACCAGAATATACTCCAGAGAATTGATCTGCAAAAGCATTAACTATTTTTTCAGGATCAGTGTAGGTGGACTTATCACGCATCATTTTTCCAGGAAGTCGAGAGGTCGTTGTTTTCTGTCTTATATAATTCCAAAAGTTACGGGGATCAGAACTAAGCGATTGTTCAGCACTAATAGTAAAGGAAGTATACGCATCAGAGATTTTCTGTTTAGTCAAACATCTCAGTCTTTTATATTCCGCTGAATAGAAAGCACTATTGCTTCTCCTCCACTTCCTCCTATAATACTCTTTCAACTTTAATAGCCGCTTAATTTCTGGGGTGTACCAAATAGGGTATGAGGATCCCCGACTCAATCTCTTAGGAACAAATAAATCCAAAATCTCATACAACTTTTTATAAAAAGCTCGCAAAGCATCATCCGCATTAACCTCCACATTTAGAAAAGACCAATCCGTGTAAAGTAGTTTATCATACATGCCAGGAAAGTTGGCTCTTCGAAAATTATATCGACCACCCAAAGACGGAAAGTTCGGCAAACCATCATTTGCCGTCAGTAAATTCATTGTAATATCTAAGGCAGGATGGTACTGATCCTCGTAGACGAAGGGACAATCATCATGAACAAGATCAAACTGATGGTCAGTATTTGTCAGAACCAAATCCAATAGACGATTGTCACAGTTCAGTACATGATTGAGTTGGCGAAGGTCCAGAAAATCACAAAAGTTACGAAATAACTCCGTTTTTCCACATTTGGTTGACATACCAGGCGCCTTAATATATTCAGGCAAATTAAAATCACCAAGGATAAGGACAGGATAATTCAAAACTTTATGTTCTAGGGCGTCCAAGAAACATAGTAAATCAGGTTGCGGATTATCAGGAGGTATGTACAACACCACGATATATAAGGTCACAGACCATAAAGAGCACTTGCAAATCAACACATCGACAAGTGGTACTAAAGCCTGAATGTCTATAGAATCAACCAGCTCAACATCATGATGACTAGCTACAGCAAGCAGAACTCCACCACCTCTGTTATGTCCAACCAAATCAAACTTACGATCAGCTCGTAAGACTCTGTACTTATCCACGAATAATTCATTAGATCCAAGATCCGAATTTAAATTAGTTTCCGATAGAGCAATCAAATCATAGGTACAATCAGAACAATTAACATAAAATTCACGCGTTTTTGTACGAAGACCATTAACATTTTGATAGTATACATTAACAGATTGACACATTTTGTTGGGCAAAATCAGTTTTCCGAAGCCTTGACAATTGAGGGAATGCCACGGATGTACTTTAGTATCAAATCCTTTTCGCCAGACTCAGTTCTTGTTTTTAATTCAGTCCTCGCCCTCCTATAAAGATCAACCTGGAAAGGAGTACGATCATTCGAGACAGAGATGTTCTTAAATTCATTATGGGATTTCAAATTCCGCATATTACGAAAAATAAGCTTAAAAGAATTATGATCTGATAATTTTACTCGTATAGGCCTAGATCTCGCGGTATTAGAAGCGGTAAATTTACCACAGCGAAAAGGCTGAATAATAGGTTCAGTAACCCCCAAATGTGTAAATAGTTTGCTTAGAAAGGCAACATCCGCATCACCTTGTTCTTTTCGTGATAAACCGTGGGATTCTGGAATATTATAAATCATCAGATTATTCTTCCTACGCTCGCGTTCCATCACTTCGTGTATAATTTTTTCAGAATCAAAATCAGTTAAAGAATGTGAAGACGGCGGAGTAACATTTGATTTCAGAGCAGCAATATCCGTCTGGAGGGAGAGTATAACGGCTTTCAAACTGTTTAAGTCATACCCCAATGAAGCGCACGAGACGCATGAGAAAAAGAGACCCTTCCCCGCATGAACCTTGCGCGCCTCAGCCGCAGAGACATCGACACAACCAATATTAAATATCTTGCTACAGACGCAGCACCTCACAGTGCGATGCTGTTCGCACTGGCGATTACAACAGGCACATTTATCCATCAGGCGTATGTCCACGACGATCTAAAAGGAAGGAGAAGGGATAACACTCTTCACACCTGTAGTGCCCGTTACGGTGACTGACAACACAGAAAGGCAGGCCCCGGAGAAGGAAAAAGGATAAAGAGAGAGTCAGGAGTAGATCGAAGGAGACAATACACTACCCAGAGTGCGATAGCAAATCAATCCTGTTTCTTACCGAGCAATGAAATCGCTACGATAATCTCAATACCAACCAAAGCAAATAAACAAATTTAATAAAGACAAGCATTCACCGCTATAATCACTTACTAATTACGGCAATGTGAAGCACGAACATAGACTCACACTTCGGTAACAAATATACCTCAGAATAACTAGTCTCACCAAGCAAAACCAAGCAGCCAACACAGCGAATATGACACGTGCACCTCTCACTTGTTCACGCGCTTGCGTGCATTGTTTCGACGCGCATTTTTTAAACTCATTTGGTACCGAATTGTATTTCAAGACTATCTGATATGAGAAGCATCGTTTAAAAAACTCTATCCGGTGTGCAGGTATTTCAAGCAAGCCTCTATGTCTGAGATTGAGATTATGTACATCTGTACGATAAGTTAATTTTTCGTACAGATATGGTGGTGACTTATTGGTGATAATTTTGTGATACATACATAAACAATGATATAAATGTCGATTTTCCATGTTTAACCACTTCACTTCTTTTAATTTGTACGATATAGACGGCTACGAATACCATATATCAATCTCAGCCACGATTTTTGCATTTTCTGTATTCTACCCACATCCGCCGCTGACAAAAAAGCGCCATAAACAGTGTCGCAATAGTTAAATCTAGACAGCACTAGTAGGTCGCATAGTAGTTTTTTGTATTTTGATTTAATGAAAACCTGTTATTAAAAATTACCTTTAGTGCTGCGAAGGCTCTCTGTATGGTGAGATTGATATGCTTTGTAAACGACAGCTGACCGTCCATTATTACACCCAGACTTTTCACCCTATTTTGTACCTCAATATGTTGTCCTTCTATAACTAAGGTTATTGGGCCTAAAAGTGAGCGCGCATGATCCGTGCCAAAGACAGTAGCTGTAGTTTTAGCGCTATTGATGTGTAGTGATCTCTCGAGAATTGTAAAATATTTGATATATCGTTGTTTATAACACCCATTGCGCGTTGGAGATCTGAAGGTAGAAATGAGTAATAAATCTGGGTGTCATCAGCGTACGAGTGAAAATTACGATGTTTTAAGCGTTCTGACATTGTAGATGTATATGTATTGTATAGATTAGGGCTCAGAATACCACCCTGCGGTACACCAGAGACCAGGGACTGTGGAAGGGACAGTTGACCATTCAGAATCACTCTCTGTGACCTACCCTTTAAATACTGGGAAAGCAGTGAGAGGGAATTCTCACCGAGATCGCTGTAATGCAAGATGGAGATAAGGGTATCAATGTCGATTGAATCAAAAGCTTTGGAATAATCGATGAGGACCAAGACCGTAACCAAGCCCCTGTCAGAGGCGCGGACGATGTCATCACAAACATGCAGTAAAGCTGATTCGCAGCTATGCAAAGGTTTAAATCCAAATTGTAGATCCGGTATAATATTATTTTCGGATAAAAACAAACGTAATTGTGTTTCCAGAATCCTTTCAAAAATTTTGGAAATAGTTGGCAACAAACTGATAGGCCGCATATCTGAGTAGGAGATTGGAGATTTTATTTTTGGAATAGGGACGATGTTAGCCACCTTCCACAAAGAGGGAAATGTATTAGTTTCAATACAAGTATTTATGATATGGCTCAGGAACGGAATAATGTGAGGAAAACATAGTGTTAACATGAACTGTGACACACCGTCCGCGCCAGCAGAAGTGTTTTTCATTGTAAGAAAAACCCTCTCGACCTCCGCCTGAGAGACCAATTTGAATTCAAAAATATTTACTCCATCTTTCCGATCATTTAAGTAGGAATTTATTAATTGTTGTGAAGTAGTGGCTGGCGGCAGGGCGGAAATGAAGGAATCATTTATATCATTGACATTTGATAAGGTTTCTGGTAGCGACGGCTTATTTTTCAAAATACCTATCTTTCGTAAACGTTTCCAGACATCTAAGGACGCATCCCCCGGTCTACACATACGAAAGTTGACATATTGTGTCTTATTCTATTATCACTTATACATATAATGGACAACGGTTACTTTTGTCCATAGATTCAAAGTTTGCAATCAAAAATACAGGATGTCATTTAAGAAATTGATTGTGTCCTTCATATTATCTTCAAAATAAGGTCAAGGTCAAAAATGTTATCGTCATATGGTTTGCCCCTTTCTACAGAACAACTATTATTTGGATAATTTTTATGTTAAATTAACCGTTTTCGATATACTAGCTTGTTTCAAGTTAAATGAACCATCTGTATATCAATATACAGTGTGTTAATTAATTATCGTACCCGACAAAGTATGCAACCAATATCACAGTATTGGTATTGCAACGCGACGAAAGTTCCTAAAAATGATGGCGACAATTCATTAACTTTAAAAGCCATTTAAAAAATATTTAGATATATTACCATTTTATAAACCATTTAACCGAGGTTCGGATTAACCGTGCTTGTGATTCATATATTTTTTAATTTTAACAACAAATTCGTTACGTACTCCGCCACGCCTAATTTTTTTATAGGCACTGTACTGTAGCGCGTTGTTGTTTTAACAGTGGAATAAAAATAGAAATTATTAAAAGACATGAACATGGTGAAACTGTCAGTTTGCCGACTAACGAATATGAAGTTCAACAGTAAACCATAGGCAATTTAGTAAAACAGCAGCCCAAATTGGAAACATTCGTTTTATGTGTAAAACATCAGCTGGCTCTAGACATAGGAAAACAATGATAGGTGCGAAGAGTGTGCAACTGAAATCTGTAATGATGTAGTGAGAACATTTTATGCCCACTCGTACATTAGCATCTACTAAAGAAAAAACTGCTCTTGGCTGTAAAATTAGTAAAGATCCGAATTACAGTGTTATGTTGCTCAAATGCTACTGGAAAAGATAAGCTAAAATCAGCTGTAGTAGGGAAGTCAAAATCGCCTAAAGCCTTAAAAGACATAAAAAAACTCACAGTCGAATACTATAACCTATAACAATCGTTCTGCATGTATGACACGAGACATACCATCTCATTTAAAGCGTACCTCACAGTTGAAGCGTTGTGAGCTGAAAACGGAAATATCACAGTTTTGTATCTTCCTCCAAATGTGACCGCCCTAAATCAACCCATGGATCAGGGCGTAATTTAAACAAATGAAGAGGTTGCATAGAAGACCACAATGCTCCTTTACAGTTTTGGAAATCAATTACGTTTCGAGATGCTGTATACACATATCGCATGCTTGGGAAAATGTGAAAGCTACCATAATTGAAAAATGTTTTAACAATATCCTATGCGATGAATCAGCTGAAGAACATGAAATTGATAGTGATGAACCTTTAGATGTGTTTCAGTCGTTAAAAAATGTTCAAGGCTGTGAAGAATTGGATGACGAAAATATTCTAGAGTAGCTAAATATTGACTCGAATGTTTTGGACTGTGAACACATGACCGACGGTGATCTAGTCGATAGTATCAATAAACCAATCTTTGAATAGAATACACTCCAAGAATGTAGTGACGATGACGTAGAAGATGATACCTTAGAACAACAATTTAAAATCAGCTGTAAGTAAGTACTAGCAGGTGCTGAAACTCTTTTAAATTTTATAGAACGGCAAGATGATCCCGACTATATACAGTATGTCCCCGGATCGAGTTACAAAGAGGAAAAAAAATTTTATTACTGATTTTTCAAACTTATCTCAGCATAAATAATGCGTCGGATATGTTCAAACTACTAAATCGCACGAATTTTATACTCTAACTATAGAAGTTAACAAATTATTCCCATATTTTATGTAAAAATTTGACTTTTTTTCTAAATTGAAATTTTTTCAAGTTCAATATATGATATGTAACCATAGAAACCATAAAAGTTACAACTTATGTTAGTGAGATTAAGTCTTTTCGTGAGATGTTAACCGTGAAAGAGAGAATTTATTTAGTACAGTGCTATGGTACTGGTGAATCATGTTTTCGTGTAGTTATACAAAAATTCCAGCAAAAATATCCGGATACAAGAATATCTCATGTTGGGGCTCGCAAATTTATGAAAAAATGTTTGGAAACGGGTTCTATATTAACCATAAAGAAGCAGATAAAGAGACTAAATGAGGAAGACGCTGCTTCTCTAATAGCATTAAATTCCGTTCAAGAAACTCCAAAATTATCACTTCGAGGAAGAGCGTTACAAATTGAAATTAGTAAATCGCACCTCTCCAGAATTTACAAAGAAAATAAAATTAAACCATTTAGACCACGATTTAGACACACTTTGGATGCCGACGATGATGCCACACGTTTGGATTTCTGTCTTGAGATTGGTAATGAAATATTAAATAACCGA